CGCGCGAGGGTGGACGCTCACGTTTGAGCCCGCGGCGCAGCGCGGCCTCCAGGAGCTGGCAGAAGGAGGCGAGGTGCGGCGAGGTGTCCGTGCAGGGCCCGGCGCCGTCGCGGAGCTGCAGCACGGCACCTGCGGAGCATCCACGCGAGGAGGGCGCTCAGCACCCACACGTGTTCCCAGACCCAGGAGAAAATCCTGGCATGAGGCTTTTCCGCACTCCCCATCACCGCCACCTTGGGGCCCTGAGCGAGCCCAGGAGTGGAATTCAGGGTAAACTTCCTCACAGGGCCAGGTGCCAGGTGGAGCGAGTGCAAACACTGAGTCACACGCGGTGCCTGGCCCTGCTATGGTGTCCTGACACCGCCGTGGGTCCCCCTTGCCTGGTGGCCTCCATGTAGAGGCCATGGGGCAAAATCAGGGCTGGCGGGACATCCCAGGCTGGAATGGGGAGTTACTCCAGGGGCTGCAGGAAGAAGCACAGGGAAACAACAGTGGGTGCAGAAGGAGCAACCCAATCTCCCACACTAGGACCTGAGCATCCCAGAGCAGCTGGAGCCAGGAAAGCAAGCAAGGGGATCAGCACCACCGGCATTAGCTCAAGAGGGAAAACACCTGCACAGCCAAGGACAGTGCTTCGGCCACGGGGCGAGCTCCTCCTTGAGGTGTCCCCACTATCCCAAGAGGGATGACGAGTGCGCCCGGGGCTACCCGGGCTCCATCGCTCCCCGCGCCCGGCCCCGCTCACCGCGCGGGGCCCGAGCCGCGGCTCCTTCCCGGCCATGCTCCGCTCCCGGCTCCCCAGGGGCGGGACGGGGAGGCCCAGCCCCTTTCCGCCCCCGCTCGGCTTCATCCCACCCAGTTCTGCCTCTTTCCGCTAACAAACACACCCTCGACTTATATATGCACGTATAGACACGCTTACGTAACACAGACACTCATAACTGCCCATAAACAGTTCCCTGTGCCCATATACAAACACACATCACATACGGATTCCTAATAGAAACAGTGCCATAGATATACCTATATGCATATAAAAACCACTGACATTATATCTACGTATACATATGTATCCATACATAGATGTCTCTACACATATATATCAAACATTGGCATACACACACAGAATATATATACGTGCTTTTATATAATATAATGGACATTGGCATAATAATGTACACACATACATATCTATAGCTATATATATAATATATATATACACCTATAGCTCTCTCTGTCTATATATGAACATACACACGAACACTATTTCCCAGGCGGAGGCCAAGGGGCTCTATGGCCCGTACGTGTCCCCGGAGCGGCGGGCGGCCCGGGCGGGGGGTGCGCCCGGTCCCGCCCCCTCCCCAGCTCCCCTGAGCCGCGGGTTC